CTAGTAGTTTTCATTAAGTTCTGGAAATAATGAAAGTCATAAACTTTGCCATGGTCTCTGTCCCTAGTAGTTTTCATTATCTCACAGAGTTAATGAAAGTCATACTTTCTATCAGATGAAGCATGCAGATGAACATAATGAAAGTTAGTGGGTTTGCCACGAGTTATGAATAAAATATTGGCATATTAGATGAGATAGCTGATGAAACAGATGAAGATAAATTAAATCTTGGACTTTGCCACACTCTGTCCCTAGTTCCTCAAAATCCTTGACAACGTTGCTTAGAAATTTTGGTTCAAAACCTCATCTGATTTTAATCTGTTATGCTACCTGTTAAGTTTCGCGAGATTATAAATGTCATGGAGTTATATAAAAAGGAGGGACAGCTAGGGACACTGGAAGTACTTGTAAGGCTATCTGTTAAGATTGCATGAAATACTAAAAAGTCATGAAATCCATTATCGCTGTGCTAGCTTCACCTTAGAGTAAAATGACGACTAAAGTCACTGAAGCAATGAAACAAAAGTTCTTGGTAGAATACATTAAATCAGGAACTATTCCGGAAGGTTTTTACATTCATACTATGAAGGATGGTAGAGTTCAGTTTAGAAAGATAAAGCAACCATTAGATAAAGAAGGTATATTAAGGAAGATTAAACTTCATGAGGACAACATTGCTGAACTTAGGAAGAAGTTAGAAGAGTTGGAGAAAGGAAGAGAGTTATAAAACAATGAATTCAAGTGGGTGAAAAAACAGGTGAAAAAAGAGGTGAGATCTCACCACTTCACCTAAATTTATTTTTGTGCTATGTTTTCATACGTGTGAGGGTGGTGAGATCATTTATTTTTTATTTTATTTTTAAGTTTATTTTTATGTAAATGACGAAAACTATTGAGATAACAAACTACAACGGTCATGAGTTCAAGAATTTGTTCTTCGTTCCTCGTGAAAATACATTCTATCAGATACGAGGGAGAAAGGGTAAAGTTAGTTTGAGCGTTTATGAAGGAATGAAGAATGGAAAGTTTATACAAGCATACGATACAAACGGTAAACGTGTTTCATTAGCTTTGTCAAAACTTACAGGTATAAACTATGACAGTGATTTTGACCTATATGAAGAAGAAAGTGAGTCAGAAGATTATGAGCTGTTATATGAAGCACAGCAATGGGAGGAGTTGCAATACTTTTGTAAGTGAGAACGTTTATTTTTACATTAGTGAAGTCATTAGTGGTTGGCGGTTTGTAAATATTTAAGGTTAAGTTAGTGTTGTCGTTTGTGTTGTAAAATATACGTTAACGGTTTTGTAAAGTGTCAAATTCACATAACAAGGGTAAGGTGGAACGCAGTGCCACAGTACACGACTTAGCCATACTAACTATTTCTAACATATACGTATCTAACAATTCATTTGGAATTTCAAACGATCTTAAATATGTAATTGAATTTTGTATCTTCTCATTTATTTGAGAAAGTCTTTCTTCAGCATTTTCCAATAAAAATCTTAATGGATTCAAATTGGCTTCTTGATTCTGAACAAAATTTAATACTTGGTATAAACGTGATTGAACTTCTCTTTTCAATTTTGTTTTATAATCTGTCAATCGAGGCTCGCGAATTCTAATTGAAGGAATAAAACCTGTTTGAAGTAAATCGTTTTTAATACGATAAAAGTAATTGGGTGCAACTTCTTCTAAAAGATTTTTGACAAAAATATCAATTCTTTGATTTTTAACGCAGCCAAAATCGTGATATTTTATCTTTTTAAATAAAGATTCAGAAACGTTATTCACAACGGTTAATTCATTTGGTCTGGCAGCGGCTATCCACTGTTGTTTATGAATGTCCCACTGACGTGTAAAGTATTGATTAAATTCCAATTGATCTTGAATTTTATCAATAATGTGCTCTTTATACATTTTTGCAGCATCTTCTTCTGTGCAATCACGATAATAACATAAAATGTTCATAAATTTTTCGACTTCTGATCTAATCTCTTCATCATTTATCTTTGAGAGATTCTTTTTAAGTGCGCGTATTACATGTAGCGCGCACCAAAAGATATTGCACTCCGGAAATGAATTCCTAATCCCGTTGAAAATGTTTAGTGCACAGTCAGACATGATAAATTCAGGTTCTGTGTGAGTTGTTTCAAAATATTTACTTAAGCAAAAAGAAATATTTTCACTATTATCTGGATATATTATAAAATAACACAAAGGGATAGAATGAGTATTAGCAAATTTGGTAGCTAATACATAAAAAGGAAATCCATAAATAATTAATTTAAACGTAGAGTCTAAGTGATAAATTGGTGGTTTTTCATGAATTTGAGAGATCATATCATTATCAGAGTAAATAAAAACCAATTTGTCTGGAAAATCAGTATCTTCACCTTGAATGTCAAAATAAATAAGGTCATCATGTTGATCTTCCCATTGATTAACATAGTTTTGTAAAGATTGAAATTGATTTAAAGATATGTCTGGTAAAGATCTCATAAGATCTTTTTGTTGTAAATAATATTTCAATTGATTGATTGCAGTTTGTTTCATAGTCATGTGAATACAAGTATGATCTTTAGGTATTTCAAGCGTTTTGTTGACTTCTTGTGTTGCATTAAGTGGACTTCCGTGATTCATGAGAAATTTTTTAATCCAAGCACGGTAAGTACCACTTGTAGGTGTATTTTTATGTTGTGGTGGTGGTCCTGAGTGAATATGAGTTAAGTTTGCAGATTTAAAAATGTAATTGTCGAAATTTTTAATAAATTTAAAGCCTGCTGGGCAGCCTTCGTATTCGCATCGGTGGTAGATTAATACTCCTGTTCCAATTGATAGTTTTTGTGGGTCTTTGACAAATCTTATGTTACCATGCAGCTCTGCAGCTATAACAAAACGAGAATATTCTAAATATCCTATGGCTTGATCAACCTCGCATGGAGGATCGGGTGGAGGATGTTGCATTGAGCAGCAAAAAGGAAAAATAAAATTGAAAACTCACATTGAAAAAATAACGGTTTAATAGAAAATATTTTTTTTCTTCTGAAAAAGAATTATCTTTGAGTATCTAAATTGGGATAAAGGATATAGAATAGATAACTAGTACTTAATATATGATACATGTACACGAAATGGAAGAATGTGTACTAAAAGAAAGAGAAATTTTAGCTTAATATTTTACATACGAATCAATTATCTTTGGTTAAAAGGTAGAATTGTTGGCTATGATGTACTGATTCATGATCAGTACATCATAGCCAACAATTCCTTATACAAAATTCAAAAACTTGGGTGCAATCAGTTCTGATTGCACCCAAGTTTTTGAACTTTCTTGAGGGAATTAAAGGGTGAGAGATTTATAGTCTATCTATATATCTCCCACCCTCTAATTCCCTCCCTGACAGCGGGAAACTTTGTCTGAATGTTAAACTATTCAGACAAAGTTTCCCACTGTTTGCGAAGGAATTGTTGGCTATGATGTACTGATTCATGATCAGTACATCATAGCCAACAATTCCTTATATAAAGTTCAAAAACTTGGGTGCAATCAGTTCTGATTGCACCCAAGTTTTTGAACTTTCTTGAGGGAATGGAAGAGTAAGAGGTATACATTATGAATATATACCTCTTACCCTTCCATTCCCTCTCTGACAGCGGAAACTTTGTCTGAATGTTAAACTATTCAGACAAAGTTTCCCGCTGTCAGCGAAAGAATTGTTCCATCTGGTGCATAGAGTGTGAATCTATGCACCAAATGGAGCAAGTCCCTCGCGAAATTGCCAAAACTTGCGTCGCATTTCAAAGATTGCGACCCAAATTTTGGCGATTTCTAGTAGAGATGGAGTATTTTGAGTCACTGACCTATATGCAGTGGCTCAAAGGGCTCCATCTCTACTTTGAAGCAAGGAAACTTTCCTCGAAATTTTGATAATTTGAAGAAAGTTTTCAAGCAATTAACAAAGGATTACTCGCTATGAGGTAAAAATTCTAGATTTTCACCTCATAGCGAGAGCTTCCCTTTCATTGCTTGAAAACTTTCCCCAGCTTCAAAATTGGGGAAAGGGCTGTAAAGTCGACTCCGATACCAGCAGGTACCAGAGTATTTAAAAGAGAAGCCCTCGTACGAGTTTCTATGAAGACCTTCTCATTCAAGAAGATCTTAATAGAAAATCGTACGAGGGCATTGGAAACTCGCGTCTGGTACATGTTGGTACCAGAGTGTTTGAGATTTGAAGACTCTGGTACTAACATGTACCAGAATTTATGATGAATTTAAGATGGACCATTATAAAATGGTAGCGGTTTGTTTCAAAAAAATTTAGATGAGATTTGCATAGATATAGATTATATGATTTATACATATGAAAAATAATATATAAAAATATAATTTTGAGATAATTATGTAAATAATATTTTAAATATTTGAATTTGAGGTATAATTTTATAGTAAAATATATTATAAAGAGTATTTATATAAATATTGTAAAATAATATAAGTAATAAAAATTGAGACCCCTCCCTGTTTTTGATGTTTTGTCACTTTTCGGTAATTCTTATTGTTTCATCATATTAATCAGATATGCTAGAATGTATCATTCTTCAATTTGTTTACCATTTCAATTTCATAAGTATATCAAATTCATATGATATACTTTAAAAAATCACGCTCTTCATCCTCTGAGAATTTAGACGTGATTTTGAGATTGGAATATAACCCATCTCAAAACATGCAATAACAAAATATAACAAAATAGAAATTTGACCTGATAATTGGGGAAAAAAAAGTGATTTTTGAAATTACCACCTTCATATTTTTTTGAATATCCAATTCAAAAAGTGTGATTTAGGTTGTTATTCTGTATACACTCTTTTAATAATCTTTTTTTCTTATTATTATTATTATTTTGAATAAATCACAAAATTTAAGTAGTAAATTGAAAAATTGAATTAGGTGGAAAAACAAAGAATATTCAAATTTTTCACTTCATTTTAAACAATGCAAAACGAAAACAACGTGGTTGTTATGTTCATTGGTGACACAGGTGCCGGAAAGAGCTCGGTCGGAAACCTCTACTTAAAGGATAAGGCATTCGAAGCAAGTCAGAAAGCCGAAGCATGCACTCTAGTTCCAAAACATCAGTCAAGAATCGTGAACGGTACCGAGAGAATTGTCATTGATACAGAAGGCTTTGATGATGGAGACCATATTACCGAAGACCAAATCGAAAAACTTGCCCATTATCTTAAAACATTCCCCATAGGAATCAATGCAATTGGAGTTGTTATTCAGTATTCACGAATGAGATTGACAAGAGGTGTTAAAGATGTGATTAAGTTCATATATGATGCATTTGGAGATGTAATCTTGTCACATCTCTGCATCATATGGACGTTCTCCAAGTACAGACCTGAAGATTGGAAGGTCAGGAATGAAGATTACAAACCCAAAATAACCAATTACTTGTGCGAAATATCAGGTAAGAAAGAGATTCCGAACATTCCTTTCTACTATGTAAACTGCGATAAACCTGATAAAGATTTTGTGGTTGAGAACATGACTCAATTCCATGGATGGGCTGTCAGTCGTCAGAAATTCAGTTCGTCAGAGATTAAAGAAGCCACTTTAGGTTACACAACAGAAGAAGAGAAGGAAGAGAAAGTCAAGGTAGAGACATTCACAGATGGCAATGTTACATATCAAAAATATGTTGACAGAGTCAGACATAAAATCATTCCGAACGGAAACAAGAATGATATTCACTACTCCGATTGGGAAATTACAAAGGAATATCAAGAAAAGTTGGAGGAAGTAAAAGAAGAATTCCAATACAATGTCTTATCTGGCTACACATATGAAGATGGCAATAAATACGAGATTAGACAAGATCTCGTAAGGGAAGTTCGCATCTTCTATCAGACTGGTAAGCAGAAAGAAGGTCATTGGGCAGTTCTCAAAGAAAACAAAGTCTGTGTGGGTAAAACCACAACGCATGAAGAAGTTATTGAAAAATCATGGGTAGAAATAGTTGATGGCGGTTATAATCAGATAATAGCTTCATTCAAACAATTGGTGAAGACGAACCCTGACGGAGAAACAAGTTTTGGAGACCCCAAAGAAATTCCTGGCTCAAGAAGAATCAATTTCGTTAAAAATACCCCAACAGTAATCGTTAAAAAGAAACGTGGTCTCTTGCGCAAGGTTCTTGGAGCAATTTTCTAAAGAAGTAAGCTCCAGAAAAGTAATCACAAATAAAATATAATTAATTTAAGCTTGAAATATTTATTTGTCCTTCAATTTTACTTTTTAAGGTTATTTTTAAATAAAAATGACAATTGTCTGATTATCAGAAAATATGCCCTTAAAGAAAAGTCAGAATCTGATTAATATTTGTTCAAGTGGAGTGTGGGTTGTTTCTTACGCACAAATGAATGAAAAGTAATGAAAAGTTCATGTAAAAACTGTAAACATTCTTAAAAATTGAGAAATTAACGTTAATTTTTTTTTAAATTGAGAATAGTTTTTTTCAACAAATTATGTTTAATTTAGGATATTGTCAGTTGAATATATTGAATCATAAGCCATTGTTATTGATTTTCCAAAGGATATTTCCGATCTCGAAATATGAAAGAAAATAATTTGAAATTTCGATGTTATCATATAGATTAGATAATCCATCAAAAGGTGATGCAAATGTAACCAGAACACCAGATGGAAACTCATATATATTCCAATATCCATGCAAATCATATTCAGACTGCACAGACTATGTTGTTAGTTTCCTCCCAGGAGTATACAAATTTGAACTCTATGGATCATCTGGAGGTTCATATCCTGGTATAATATCAACATATAAAAATCCTGACGGAAATTGCATTGATGCCCAAATTGTTCAAGCACACAATGGAAATACACATTGTTTAACCAATGGCAGCCGAGGTGGCACTGGAGGCTACATCTCTGGTATCATCACCATTTCTCACCGATTAACCTCTTATGTGACGATAGGAGGTCAAGGAAATTATTCATATACCCAAAAATCATGTGATTGGGAATCCGATTTTTATCCAGAGAAAATGATCAAAGGCGGTTATGGTGGAGGTGGTTACGCATCCAATTGTTATATTGAAGATGGGGTTGGTCGCACAGGGAGTGGCGGTGGTCATACCGCTGTCAAATTTCATAAAAATGACCTCTGGCATCGCGTGATTGTAGCAGGTGCTGGCGGTGGTTCAGACAACTTCCAGTTTGGTCCATGGAATGAGGATGCCGATGACGGATCATCTGGCGCAGGAGGCGGCTTTATTGCCCAGGGATATTGGAAGGCTCATAATTACATCGACGAAAGATTGGCCAATTCTACATTCGGATTCACCTTTGGATCAGGAGAATCTGCTCAAAAAGATTGGTCCAAAAATCCAGATGGTGTTCAAGTAGTAGGTGGATTGGATGATAGGCCAGGTGCCGGCGCTGGATGGTTTGGAGGCTTCGCGTGCCATGATGGTAACTGCGGCGCTGGTGGAGGAAGCTCTTTTGCATTGACGAGAGATAACATTGAAGAATTAAGTCAGAAAGAATTTACCGCACATGACACTTTTTATAATAATCCAATCACGCAAAAGTATGGATTTTCATCAAAAGATGGATATAAGTTTAGTGAAGTTAAAACAGTTTCTTGTATCTGGGAAGGCAACGGACGTCTTATTGTCACTGTCATAGATCCAATTATTTATCCATCATGTAATATAATTTATTTTGTTCAAAATCACAATTTTCTTTTTATCTTTTTATTTTTTGATCCTAAATAAAACATATGCTTACCATTAATATTATTTATTGGTCATCAATCAAAATCAATTCAAATATTTTTCACTATATCAATGACTTAGATATATCTGGAGAAACTCCTCTTAATACAGCATGATGATGTTGTAAAATAGGTATTATAATGTTTAAGTTTTTTAATAATATACAAACAAAAAATAATAACATTTATTTAGTTAAGACTGAAGGCTGCTCTTCAACAATCTTTTTAATGACAGCTAGTTCAAACGGTTCTATATTAAATGTTCTATCTGCTGCAGAATTGACAATTTCTTCAATAATTGTAGAAAACAAATCTTGGTTGTCAACTCTTTCGTTGAAAGACTTGTAGATGTAAAACATATCTACTTGAACTTGGTTAAATGCAGGAGATGTGAATGTAGAATCTCTGACAATTTCAAGTATTGTTTTCATTGTATAAATAACAATAGAACTGAAGATGGAAATTTTGTTCAATCCAACACTTTTTGATAATCCCAACCTATTCACTGAAGTAAACAACCTATCAATGTGATTGTACGTCTCATCTCTCACTCCATCAAAGTTTGGTTGTATTGGAGTGTTGTATAAAATGTGAGATGATGTGGAACCACTTTTTTCTGTCACTTTTGGCAAAAAATTATCCAAAGTTTGCCAAATTTCATTTATTTCTTTTACTAAATCCAGAGATTTCTTCGATATTTCGTTTGTTGTCTTCTTCCTTTCTAAGATTTCTGAGTCATAAAATGTTAATACAATTGGTTCTACGGCTAATCTCTTATACTTGATAAATCTCTGTACGTTTACTAATGAAGACGATAGAAAAGTGGTTCTCAATTCTCTGGCCAAAACAGATTGAGGAATATCGTTGTCAATTCTTGACAAAACCGCCAAAATTTTGACAATCATATCATTTGCCATGTTTTCCGATATAATTGCAACCAAAAGAGATTTTTCTAGTGGACAATTTTTGACAGATTCTGAAAAATTTGACAATTGTAATCTGAAATTTTGAACTAACATTTGTGTGCATTCTTTGTGTTCTAGCATCGACAAAATCTCAAATTCATTAACTATAGTGTCAATGGAACTAAGGAATGAAGAAGTGAAGTGACCAATTAATTGAGAGCTATCGTCATTCTCAATAATTTCAAAAGCGGAATTAAAAATTTTTTGGACTCTTTGATTCGTGTAATTTTTGATGATTTTGTGGATATTCTGTTGTATTGTTGATTCATTGACAACAACATTGAATAAGTCAATGAATAATCTGATGTAAGCGGCCAATTTCTTGGAATCTAAATCAGATAATTTTGCTGAAGGAAGAATTGGCAAAATTCTTTCGAAAAACTTATTGGCGAAGCCTGTAAGTATTGTTTCTGCTTTGGTTTTAGTTTCTTCGTCAGGAGAAAGTGGAATTAAATTATATTTATAAAGTGTTATGAATTTTGAGGTGTGATCAATGATGGATTCGTTGAGATGTGAAAGAGCAGTGAATGGCTCATCTTCTAATTCGATTTCATCAATTGCATTGTCAACAATTAAAAATTGATGATGAATTAACTGGGAACATATCAAAATAAGCGATGTACCTAGCTGAACAAGTAATACACCATCATTTACAGAGTTTTCCACTGTGATATCTGATGTTAACATCTGTTCTGTAATTTTATTTTTAATTTCTTTCATGATTTCTGTTGATTCTTCGTATATTTGTGAAAATGATGGAAACCTTTGTTGTGTTCTTAGTATCTTTTCGACTTTAATCCATATCTTGACGGCAGTATTGAAATTTTTCTTTTGTAAATTTGATTTTAAGATTGATGGAAGTCGTGAAATGAACTTAATACGCTCTAACAAGCGTTGAATACCTATTAAACGTTGAATTTTTTCGCGATTTTCGTGTAAACCAGATGAAATATTTTCATTGTGTGAAGCAACTTTTGTAAGAGTATTACTAAGATCACTAACTTGGGATTCTAGTACTGAGATATTGTCTCCAAAGGTAATTACTAAATCTGAAGCGTTCAAAAATTTTGTATAATTGTCATAAACTAGAGTTTGCATGTCATTATCGAGAGATTCTATATCAGCAACTAATGAAATTTCTTGTGCTACTAACTGATGTATAGAAAGAGTCTTTGTTGATTTATCAAATAATAATTTCGCGTTAAATATAGAAGAATTTATATCAGTTGGATCCTCTTCTTTCTTGGGAGTATCTCCAACACAGTAAAATTCTCTGAACTCCATACTTATTGAACTTTCAGGTCGATTTGACATAAAAAACAAATAATAAAATCTATTTTCTTAATTCATTCGATAATGATTGTTGTCTTTATGTGAATGTTTTAAAATAAATATCATCAGCTTTTCCTGTCTTTAGAGCTACTTTCCCAACATTTAGAATAAGGTTATTACCCTAAAATTCAGTTATAGACACTTAGGAGAGCATTTAAACCATGATATTTTGGCATATGATAGAGAAACATCTTATAAACATTTTCAGTATGTTTTCCTATAAAATAACGATCTCACATGAAATTACTAAAATATCAAATTTTGATTTTCACTTTAAAGTTGGGAGAATACTCTAAAGTGACAGGGTATACAATTTTAACCTTTGTTTTGATTATAAATAAAGTATTGATAGAGATATGAGTTGTACAGAATTATACACGTGTGTTTAATCACATGTAAGTTGTGCAACAATAATGGTTAGCTAGATAGTATATTAGGGAACTGTGATTTATGATCTAATTCAATAAGATGTAAATGATATTCAAATATATTAAATAAATGCGAATGTTCAAGATGTGGAATCAGTTAGTTAATTGTTGTATATAGATATTTTACTGTGATTAATGAATTTTTTAACAATTTAAAATTATCAAATTTCAAAATATGCGCAATGAGATAATTTGAGAGTATTTTGAGAACTGAAGACTTATGATTTAGTGTTTTTGAATAAGCACATCAATATAAAGATAGAAAATAAATTGAGATATAATTTTTTTGAAGGTATTATAAGGGTGGAGGTAGTAGGATGAATTTTTAATGTTCTATACTTTCATGGCAAATAATTAAATAGAAGTAAAACTTTGTTTTAAGAATTGAAAATTTTAAATAAAAAAGGAATGTTAGTAATGCTAATTTATTTGATTCCGGGGGACACCCCGATTATCAAATATATTTATTAAAATGGAAAATCTCTCACTTTTCGAAAAAATCGAATCTGCAAGGATCTCCGATTCTCGATATGATAATTTATTTGATTCTGGAGCCCCCCCGGTTATCAAATATATTTATTAGAACGGAAAATGGGGCGGCGACAAATTTGCCCAGCCAGTAAAGTATTCAATTGTTTTTTTTTGCATTTTTTTTTAAAGCTTCTTAACTTAAATCATGGAATGTCTCAAAGACAAAAGTAGCATACAGCATGTAAAGCTAAAGAAAGATAATCATAATTAATACCTTAATTTTTAATATTACGCATTTTTAGGTGCAAAATTTAAAAACATTCTAATACAATAGAGCAGTTTCCAAAAGTAGCATACAGCATGTAAAGCTAAAGAAAGATAATCATAATTAATACCTTAATTTTTAATATTACGCATTTTTAGGTGCAAAATTTAAAAACATTCTAATACAATAGAGCAGTTTCCAAAAGTAGCATACAGCATGTAAAGCTAAAGAAAGATAATCATAATTAATACCTTTAAAGTTTAAAATCTTGATTTTTTTTAAAATCAAATATTTATAACTTTAATACATACAGCTTAAACCTTATACTTGTTTTCTCTTGTGAGAAAGCAATCTTACAAAGCTAACAATCCTAAAAAATAAAGAATTAAAATTTAATAATTTAATCTAACAAAATTTCTCTCTTTATCCTTTTGCACTCTTTATATGCAACTCAAATCCATCATATAATATTCCTATAATACTCTTGCCTCAAACAATGACGAACAAACTGCTATTCTCATTTAATTACAGACCAAATCTGTAATGCATGAAAATTCGGTTCAATTCATTTTTGACACTTTACATATATCATATTGCAAAAAAGTTTTTAAAATATGATGTATGAATAAGAGTATGATTGGTATAGATTTGGGTTGTATAAATGTGATTGAACAATTGTTAATGGAAAGTTCAAAAACTTGGGTGCAATCAGAACTGATTGCACCCAAGTTTTTGAACTTTGTATAAGGAATTGTTGGCTATGATGTACTGATCATGAATCAGTACATCATAGCCAACAATTCCTTCGCAAACAGCGGGAAACTTTGTCTGAATAGTTTGACATTCAGACAAAGTTTCCCGCTGTCAGAGAGGGAATGGAAGGGTAAGAGGTATACATTATGAATATATACCTCTTACCCTTCCATTCCCTCGAGAAAGTTCAAAAACTTGGGTGCAATCAGTTCTGATTGCACCCAAGTTTTTGAACTTTATATAAGGAATTGTTGGCTATGATGTACTGATCATGAATCAGTACATCATAGCCAACAATTCCTTCCCAAACAACCCGAAATTTGTCTGAATAGTTTAACATTCAGACAAAGTTTCCCGCTGTCAGAGAGGGAATGGAAGGGTAAGAGGTATACATTATGAATATATACCTCTTACCCTTCCATTCCCTCGAGAAAGTTCAAAAACTTGGGTGCAATCAGAACTGATTGCACCCAAGTTTTTGAACTTTGTATAAGGAATTGTTGGCTATGATGTACTGATCATGAATCAGTACATCATAGCCAACAATTCCTTCCCAAACAACCCGAAATTTGTCTGATTCCACACTAATTTTATTAATTTATCTAAACTTTTATCCTCGTCTACAATTTAATCATCAATAATTATCTCTTGTTCTATTTCACTATTATATATATATATATATATTTATATGATTTGATTTAAAAAAAATAAATAAATAAATTAATAAATCATTTACTCAAATATATCAAAAGTTTTATTTTTATATATAAAGATAACTACTTTTAAAAAAAATACCCTATATATTTTTGCCATGTAAACTTGTCACTTTTGTCAGAAGTGAAGTGAACCGAATTTTCATGCACAACAATTACAGACCAAATCTATTCAAATTTCTGAATTTTTAATTTTCATTTCAATTTCAAATGGAATTAGAAGAAGAAACTATCTTTACTGTTATGGATCTTTGTAAATTTGGAGTTAAACAAGAAATACAAGCACAGTATGGATATGGTGAACGTGTCAGGAAAGAAAGATCTCAGATTTCATTCCACTGCAAATATCCAAAATGTCCTGCACATTTTAATGTTGCAATCTTGGATCAAAATAAATACAAACTAATCAAAATAGTTGAAGAACATGATCATTCCGCCCCAAATGACAAAAGTCAATATTTGTCTGTCTTTTATCGCAAATATTTAGAACATTACTTCCAAACAGATGACAATCAAAGAGCGATAGCACAGCTAAATGCATTCAAAGATCTTGAAATTCCTCTTACAGGTCCGTCCATTCCAGAGATGTACGCTCAAAAACCACGTGCAATCAAACGATTTGCAGAGAGAATACATGCTCTTCAAACTAGATATTCTCCTGACGATGTTGTGTCATTGCAAATCTTTGTTCAGACAGTACAAGAAGAATCTCCAGATGATCTCATTGCATTTGAAGTCTCAGACAATAATATGTGTTTCTATTACGCGCCTTTTGAAGGCAAAGCTTATGCGCATAGTATCAAGACATTTCATATAGACAGCACCTATAAATTGTTGCGATCAAACATTCCATTGTATGCATTTACTGGCAAAATCAAAGATTTTCACATTTTCCCTTTTTTATATTTCTTTTGTCAACCAGACACTTATCAAAACATTCAAGTTTGCGTGTGCGCCTATCTCAGATGGGTAACAATTGAGCCAGAATACATTAGCATGGACTGTGCTCCACAGATAGCTCAAGCAATAGAAGAAAGCATTCCACAAGCTCAAATACTTTGGTGCGGAGTACATGTTCTTCGTGCAATTCTTCGCAAATCAAATAAGTTTTCTTCTCAAGAAAAATTTGAACAATTCTATAATTTGATGAAGGATTTAGTCTTCAAATTAGATGCAGAACATGAGGAAGAAGCAAATGCTGCCTATGATCAAGTTCTGGAGTTGCTCGACACAGATCCAACAGCATCTCAATACTTTAACAGACAATGGCGTTACAACATATCAAGATGGATTGCTCGTGACAGGCGTGAAGGCGACGCAACTAACAATATTGCCGAAGCTCATTTTAGAACACTCAAACATGACTATTTTCCTGATCGAAAAAATCTCAGAATTGATGATGTTATTATAAAATTTATACAAAAGTGATACCGTTATCAAACTCAAAATTGATCAAAATCCAGCAGATGACCGTGTCATTAGGATCATTGAAAAAGCAACTAACGCAGAAATTGATGTAAAAAGACAAAGAAAAATCGAGAGTATTTCAATGCTCAATAGATTGCTCAATGCTGTTAGTGATGACTCAATAGATCCCACTAAAATATATCCTACCTTGAAAGTATTATTACAAAGAACTCATTTTATTTAATTTTGATTTTAATTTTAGATTAAATTATTAAATTTTAATTCTTTATTTTTTAGGATTGTTAGCTTTGTAAGATTGCTTTCTCACAAGAGAAAACAAGTATAAGGTTTAAGATGTATGTATTAAAGTTATAAATATTTGATTTTTTAAAAAATCAAGATTTTAAACTTTAAAGGTATTAATTATGATTATCTTTCTTTAGCTTTACATGCTGTATGCTACTTTTGGAAACTGCTCTATTGTATTAGAATGTTTTTAAATTTTGCACCTAAAAATGCGTAATATTAAAAATTAAGGTATTAATTATGATTATCTTTCTTTAGCTTTACATGCTGTATGCTACTTTTGGAAACTGCTCTATTGTATTAGAATGTTTTTAAATTTTGCACCTAAAAATGCGTAATATTAAAAATTAAGGTATTAATTATGATTATCTTTCTTTAGCTTTACATGCTGTATGCTACTTTTGGAAACTGCTCTATTGTATTAGAATGTTTTTAAATTTTGCACCTAAAAATGCGTAATATTAAAAATTAAGGTATTAATTATGATTATCTTTCTTTAGCTTTACATGCTGTATGCTACTTTTGGAAACTGCTCTATTGTATTAGAATGTTTTTAAATTTTGCACCTAAAAATGCGTAATATTAAAAATTAAGGTATTAATTATGATTATCTTTCTTTAGCTTTACATGCTGTATGCTACTTTTGTCTTTGAGACATTCCATGATTTAAGTTAAGAAGCTTTAAAAAAAATGCAAAAAAAATGTAATAAAATAAAAAAATTTTTAGTATCGATAATCTGAAATATGTTGTTTACTTAAACCGCGAGCGAAGCGAGGGGCTTAGTTTCGTAATTTCATACAATCTTTTTTCGAATCTGTTCTTTTCTTAAGCCGCGAGCGAAGCGAGGGGCTTAGTTTCGTAATTTCATACAATTATTTTTCGAATCTGTTCTTTTTGTCAGCCGCGAGCGAAGCGAGTGGCTTAGTTTCGTAATTTCATACAATTATTTTTCGAATCTGTTCTTTTCGTCAGCCGCGAGCGAAGCGAGTGGCTTAGTTTCGTAATTTCATACAATTATTTTTCGAATTTGTTCTTTTTGTCAACCGCGAGCGAAGCGAGTGGCTTTTTATTTTTAAAAATTTTTTTTCTTTCTTACTTTTTTTCCCTTACTTACAAATTTGATAGTAACTTACCAAATCTCTCTATCATATAATAATAAATTAATACATTTTTTGTTTCAAATCTGACACTTTACATTTCTGACATGTAAACATGTCACTTTTCACTTCACCTCACTGGGCAAGTTTGTGCCCCCCTCGAACGGAAAATCTCTCACTTTTCGAAAAAATCGAAACTGCAAGGATCTCCGATTCTCGATATGATAATTTATTTGATTCCGGGGGCACCCCGGTTATCAAATATATTTATTAGAATGGAAAATATCTCACTTTTCGAAATTTTTTTTAACAAAAATATGGCATTCTTAAATTATAGTTACATGTTATTTCACAATCATTATCATTAAAAAATTCAATTATTCAAGTTGTTTTGTCCCGACGGTTTTTACGGTTATAAAAATGGTTGCGAACTCAATCCATCAGCAAAATGTCGGTTGGGGTGCCCTTCTTGGCCTCCTGAGTACTCACCAAGATACCCCCAGCTCCCGCAAAACACCTCCCTTAGGTGAGCATTAACTGATGACATGAGTTAACAATTCTACAAAATCATCAAGCATGAAGGTTTATGATTTATAAATCAAAATCTCAGAAACTGCTTGACTTTGCAAGTTGCTGTCTTTACCGGTTACTCTGCTGCAATCTCTTTTCTGATTGCAGGCAGAGTTCTGCATCCTGAGGACATTGCCTTGCAGATATGCTTGTAATCACTACGTGAGCAACTTGGTGTTGCAAGTTGCTGTCTTTACCGGTTACTCTCTGCAATCTCTTTTCTGATTGCAGGCAAAGTTCTGCATCCTGAGGACTTTGCCTTGCAGATATGCTTGTAATCACTACGTGAGCAACTTGGTGTTGCAAGTTGCTGTCTTTACCGGTTAGCTTTTTTTGAAGTTTCTTCGCATCTTATATAAGCTCTAGATCAATATTTATCATCAGAATTTGCATCTCATAAAGCACGATATTAATCAAATAGGCAAATTTCATTCGGAGTCTCTCATTAAATGAGAAACTCCGAATGAGATTTGCTCTAAGGTAATGTACTTGTTATGCTTGGCCTAGAAGCAAGGAGGAAACATGTATATGGTTTGTTTATACTGAAGTTATCTGGAATTCTCTCAATTGAGGATTCAAATCCAGATAACAGCAGTATAAGTTAATATTGTTGTGCACCTCAGGTTGTTTATAGGCCCGAGAACGAGAAAAGAATTTATGGTGTGAATTGGCTCGATATATACCTACGCTCTGTAAAAAATACGTTATATTTTCTTTCATATGAGAAAAATGTTTTTATTTTTTATAATACTATGTGCTTTGTTACTTCATAAATTGTCTATTTTTCTTATTAAAACCTATTCAAAAAATGCGTTTTCCGTTTTAATTAATAAGTTAAAACTGCACAACAATATTAACTTATACTGCTGTTATCTGGATTTGAATCCTCAATTGAGAGAATTCCAGATAACTTCAGTATAAACAAACCATATACATGTTTCCTCCTTGCTTCTAGGCCAAGCATAACAAGTACATTACCTTAGAGCAAATCTCATTCGGAGTTTCTCATTAAATGAGAAACTCCGAATGAAATTTGCCTATTTGATTAATATCGTGCTTTATGAGATGCAAATTCTGATGATAAATATTGATCTAGAGCTTATATAAGATGCGAAGAAACTTCAAAAAAAGCTAACCGGTAAAGACAGCAACTTGCAACACCAAGTTGCTCACGTAGTGATTACAAGCATATCTGCAAGGCAAAGTCCTCAGGATGCAGAACTTTGCCTGCAATCAGAAAAGAGATTGCTCCAAGGTTAACTATAGTTTGATATCGTAAAATTCACTTCAAAATGACGTTAACACATTTAAATTTATACGTTTAAATTCTATAGTTTATTTATAACTTCATTTTTCTTTATTGCTCTACGAGCTATTCTCATTGCATGATGTGTTAGTGTGCCGGCCCTAACATGGAAGCTGTGAGATATTGTGCTCAGAGAATGGAAGCAAATAATCTATAGGGTGTCCAAAGGTGCGTTTAGCACAGCGCTCTATATGAGACTATTAAAGGGGATATATGCTGATTATAAATATATAATAAAAAATATGAATATATGTATATGATGAGTATGTTGTATTTTGGCGCCATGCCGGGATATAAAATGAATTTTGAGACAAGAGGCGGTTTCGCGGGAAATTTTGGCGGGATTTTTTTCATTTTTTTAATGAATCATAAAGAAAACATCCTCGCTCTTGCAAAAAAATGCAAAGACTGTAAAAAATCTACGAGACATTGGTAAAATGCTTCGGTATGGATGCTCCTAGCTATTCCACTGTAAGGTATCATGTTAGGATGTATCACTTCATGAACAAAAAGGCGCCCATCATAAAAATTGACAAAAAATCGCCGGATCAAAGAAAAATCAAAGCAATTCTTCAAGCGCTAGATGAAGACCCAAGAGCATCACTCAGAAGGATAGAGGAGATGACAAAGATACCACGTACAACAGTCAGTTATTATCTGCACAATTATTTGAACTACAAACTAGCGTATACACGTTGGGTTCCGCACAACCTTAATTCAGTTCAAAAAAAATCTAGAGTCCAATCTTCGAAAGAGCTCCTCTCTATATTGGGTGCGTATCAATCCAAGAAGTTTCGCTTTTTAGTAACAGGGGACGAGTCTTGGTTTCAATATGCAACAGAAGCCAAAATCATGTGGATCCCGAAGGATGAAAATCCGCAAACATTCCCGAAGAAAAAAATTGACACACCAATGATGATGTTGTCGGTTTTTTGGGGCGTGAATGGCATCATCGCAATTGATATTCTTCAAAAACCTAATACGATGAATGCTCAGTATCTAATTGACAATGTTCTTACTCAAATTATCAATTCTGATGAGTTTGAGAAATCCAAACAACAAAAACAAAAGTTTGCAATTCATTTTGATAATTCAAGAGTTCACAAAAGTCATAAGGTAATGAATTACTTGGTGGAAAACAATGTCAAAGTTGTTCCAAACCCAATTTATTCACCTGATATTGCACCCTCTGACTTTTATTTATTCGGCACGCTAAAAAAGAGAGCTGAAGGACGCGAATTCGCGAGTCCAGATGATCTTGAAAATTTTGTAAGAGAGCAATTTGAGCAATTTTCTCATGATGATTTAAAGCGTGTCTTTCAAGCCTGGATCGATCGCTGCGAACGCGTGATTGAATCCAATGGTGATTATATTTAAATAAACTTTATATATATGTAACTTGTTTATTTCTATTCGCAGTATTCAGGTTTGTGCTAAACACACCTTTGGACACCCTATATTTAGAAGATGAAATAACAACAATGATATGAGTGAAAATGAAATTATTAATGTCGATTGCATCATCCTTAGATTGATAACAATACAAACTGCTGCATTTCTCCAGATTCCACGCATTGTCAGATTTTCAAGAGATTCTTTAGTCAAATCATAAGCCAGTCATACAAAACCTAGAAGTTAGCATCATCCTTAGATTACTGACAATACAAACCCCTTTACTTATATATTTAAAAAAAAACTAAAAACGATATATTCCTCTCATATCGTTTTTGAAAATTGGTACCTAACAAACCTCGAACTCATGGACCAACAAAAACAAAAATAAATGGATGAAGAACCAGATATACCCAATCTGGAATCCATTCCGCAACATATTGCAGAGAAACTCCTGCAACTAGGCAAACTTGTTCCAAGGCAAAAGTTAAATGCAGTTAGTAAACATATCAAGGGTACGGCGGCACTGCGCGCCTCCTTACCCATGATATGTGAATTTGACACTTTACGAAACCGTTAACGTATATTTTACAACACAAACGACAACACTAACTTAACCTTAAATATTTACAAAGCCACCAACCACTTCACCTCACTAATGTAAAAAAATAAACGTTCTCACTTACAAAAGTATTGCAACTCCTCCCATTGCTGTGCTTCATATAACAGCTCATAATCTTCTGACTCACTTTCTTCTTCATATAGGTCAAAATCACTGTCATAGTTTATACCTGTAAGTTTTGACAAAGCTAATGAAACACGCTTACCGTTTGTATCATATGCTTGTATAAATTTTCCATTATGCTTGTAGTCATAAACGCTCAAACTAACTTTACCCTTTCTCCCTCGTATCTGATAGAATGTATTTTCACGAGGAACGAAGAACAAATTCTTGAACTCATGACCGTTGTAGTTTGTTATCTCAATAGTTTTCGTCATTTATATAAAAATAAAATAAAAAATAAACTTAAAAAATACAATAAAAATTAATGATATCACCACCCTCACACGTATGAAAACATAGCACAAAAATAAATTTAGGTGAAGTGGTGAGATCTCACCTCTTTTTTCACCCTGTTGAATTCATTGCTTTATAACTCTCTTCCTTTCTCCAACTCTTCTAACTTCTTCCTAAGTTTAGTAATGTTGTCCTCATGAAGTTTAATCTTTCTCAAAATTCCTTCTCTATCTAATGGTTGCTTTATCTTTCTAAACTGAACTCTACCATCCTTCATAGTATGAATGTAAAAACCTTCTGGAATAGTTCCTGATTTAATGTATTCTACCAAAAACTTTTGTTTCATTGCTTCAGTGACTTTAGTCGTCATTTTACTCTAAGGTGAAGCTAGCACAGCGATAATGGATTTCATGACTTTTTAGTATTTCATGCAATCTTAACAGATAGCCTTACAAGTACTTCCAGTGTCCCTAGCTGTCCCTCCTTTTTATATAACTCCATGACATTTATAATCTCGCGAAACTTAACAGGTAGCATAACAGATTAAAATCAGATGAGGTTTTGAACCAAAATTTCTAAGCAACGTTGTCAAGGATTTTGAGGAACTAGGGACAGAGTGTGGCAAAGTCCAAGATTTAATTTATCTTCATCTGTTTCATCAGCTATCTCATCTAATATGCCAATATTTTATTCATAACTCGTGGCAAACTCACTAACTTTCGTTATGTTCATCTGCATGCTTCATCTGATAGAAAGTATGACTTTCATTAACTCTGTGAGATAATGAAAACTACTAGGGACAGAGACCATGGCAAAGTTTATGACTTTCATTATTTCCAGAACTTAATGAAAACTACTAGGGACAGAGACCATGGCAAAGTTCATGATTTAATTTATTCTCTCACTAACAACAAACACAAACTCCAACACTAACTCAAGTACTAACTTCAGCACAAATGACAAACGTCAAAACTTCATCGTATATGTTTTGTCAAGACTTCTTCGTAAATGTTTTGTCAAAACTTCATCGTAAATGTTTTGTCATGACTTCATCGTATATGTTTTGTCATGACTTCTTCGTAAATGTTTTGTCATGACTTCTTCGTAAATGTTTTGTCATGACTTCATCGTATATGTTTTGTCAAGACTTCATCGTATATGTTTTGTCAAGACTTCATCGAAACTAAACGTAAATGTTTTGTCATGACTTCTTCGTAAATGTTTTGTCATGACTTCTTCGTAAATGTTTTGTCAAAACTTCATCGTATATGTTTTGTCAAGACTTCATCGTATATATTTTGTCATGATTTCATCGTAAATGTTTTGTCAAGATTTCATCGAACTTCTTCGTAAATGTTTTGTCATGACTTCTTCGTATATGTTTTGTCATGACTTCTTCGTAAATGTTTTGTCATGACTTCATCGTAAATGTTTTGTCAAGACTTCATCGTATATATTTTGTCATGATTTCATCGTAAATGTTTTGTCAAGATTTCATCGAACTTCTTCGTAAATGTTTTGTCATGACTTCTTCGTATATGTTTTGTCATGACTTCTTCGTAAATGTTTTGTCATGACTTCTTCGTAAATGTTTTGTCAAAACTTCATCGTAAATGTTTTGTCAAGACTTCATCGTATATATTTTGTCATGATTTCATCGTAAATGTTTTGTCAAGATTTCATCGAACTTCTTCGTAAATGTTTTGTCATGACTTCTTCGTATATGTTTTGTCATGACTTCTTCGTAAATGTTTTGTCATGACTTCTTCGTAAATGTTTTGTCATGACTTCATCGTATATGTTTTGTCAAGACTTCATCGTATATGTTTTGTCAAGACTTCATCGAAACTAAACGTAAATGTTTTGTCATGACTTCTTCGTAAATGTTTTGTCATGACTTCTTCGTAAATGTTTTGTCAAAACTTCATCGTATATGTTTTGTCAAGACTTCATCGAAACTAAACGTAAATGTTTTGTCAAAACTTCATCGTAAATGTTTTGTCATGACTTCTTCGTAAATGTTTTGTCATGACTTCTTCGTAAATGTTTTGTCATGACTTCTTCGTATATGCTTTGTCGAACTTAAACGTAAATGTTTTGTCATGACTTCTTCGTATATGTTTTGTCAAAACTTCATCGTATATGTTTTGTCATGATTTCATCGTAAATGTTTTGTCAAGATTTCATCGAACTTCATCGTAAATGTTTTGTCAAAACTTCATCGTATATGTTTTGTCAAAACTTCATCGTAAATGTTTTGTCAAGACTTCATCGTATATATTTTGTCATGATTTCATCGTAAATGTTTTGTCATGATTTCATCGTATATGCTTTGTCAAAACTTCATCGTATATGTTTTGTCATGATTTCATCGTAAATGTTTTGTCATGATTTCATCGTAAATGTTTTGTCATGACTTCTTCGTATATGCTTTGTCGAACTTAAACGTAAATGTTTTGTCATGATTTCATCGTAAATGTTTTGTCAAAACTTCATCGTAAATGTTTTGTCATGACTTCTTCGTAAATGTTTTGTCATGACTTCTTCGTATATGTTTTGTCATGACTTCTTCGTATATGCTTTGTCATGACTTCATCGTATATGTTTTGTTATGACTTCATCGAAACTAAACGTATATGTTTTGTCATGATTTCTTCGTAAATGCTTCATCGAACTTAAACGTATATGTTTTGTCATGACTTCATCGTAAACTAAACGTAAATGTTTTCAGTGTCACTACGTCACCATGTCACTATGTCACCATGTGTTACCATGTTACCATGTGCTACCAGGTTAATTAACTTCTTTTAAAAATGATGACAACATGACATTTTGACAACACAGCAGGATTAAGGAGGAAGGCACTTATGAATTATTTTTGAAGAACTGAAGGTGTAACCATGTTACCATGTGCTACCAGGTTATTTAACTTCTTTTAAAAATGATGACAACATGACATTTTGACAACACGGCAGGATTAATGCAAAAATAAATTCCAATCATACTTTATAAAGCTTCATTTACAGGTATTTCATCGTCAGTAAATGAATCCTCATTATCGTTTGGTTCAACCTGTTTATATAATCCTTTCATTTCTTCTTTCAAAACATAACACCATGTTTGTTTACCGTCTATTCTTCTATGTTTCCTTTCACATTTATCCTTAATACTCATTTGGAAATTCTTGTCTTTCATGTCTGATGGTTTGCAGAATAGAGCATTTTTACACGTCATACCTGCACACAATTCATCATAATGTGTATTTATCCATACATCTAAAGGATTTGTTGATAATTCAATTAAATCTTGTTTGGCTTCAGTCATCGGTATGATTCGTACATTAAATGATGAAAGGTCATATTGCATAAAATATGTTAGTAAATTATCATAAAATTCCTTTGTGCATGAATCCATTAAATTCTTGAAGTAATCAAATTGACCCTTGAATTTACCATTAACTCTTAAAACTACGTATCTTCTGTCTCCAACTTCAATTTTGACAGGGTAAACGTTATTAGTTACCAAAATGAAGTTTGCAACGTTCTGAGCAGTTCTTCTGGGTTGATTCTTTTCATTAATTCTAATCTCATTATCCGTTATAATTGATTTCAAAGCGTTGAAGTTTGCGAGTCTATCTTCACCTACATTCTTGAGTTCATTAAGTACAAGAAACATTTTATTCTCAACTACTGAATTGAAATTACCCGTTAGCTCACTTATTTCAGTAATGTTTTTGCATGAATAACCAGCGAGAAGTTCAGAAATAATGTCTGTAAATCTGTTTTTACCTGTTCCCTGAAGTCCTTTCAAAATAATTGCTGTTTCATTCTTGATTCCTGGATGTTGAATCATTGATGCAATCCAGCCGAGAAGGTATTTATACACTTCATCGTTATTATCACATATGGCTTCTTTAATGAAATTCATAAACATCTCAATTTTTGAGTAATCTGGCTTTTCGAGAACGTTGTATTTATAACTCTGAAACGTTGAGAAAACATCTGGAGAATCAGATTTAAAGCAAACACCCTTAACGGTTAATGAGGATAATTGATTTAGTAGTACATCCCATGCTGTTATGGTTTTACCTTCTTCTTTAAATAATTTAATCATTTTAAGTGACTCTTTCATGTTTGATTGAAGAACGAATGATATTTGATTCATTTTGTCGTGGATATTATAGTCCTTTTGAATGAAATATTTATTTCCACAATCTACAAAACGGATTACACGTGATAAATCCTCAATTACTTCAGAACTGTTTTTATACTGATGATTTTCAGCCTTGCGTCTAATATCTGTTATCAAAAACGAGTCATCAAGTTTGATATCAAATGTTATTTTTGGCTTACGTAATAAAGGTAAAACGTATTCATCATAATATTCCTTTTGATAAAGTTTTAGAATCTTCACCAAAACAAATGGAGAAGTCATTAAATGTGCATATCTACTACGTGCTTTTTCAAAATTACTTTTTGCATTTTCAGTTAAATTGCAGAAGTTATAAACGTTATCGTATGCTTCATTAATTAAATGATTAGGTAACGAATTAATAGCTTGAA